AGTGAAAATTGGAAATTCAGTTTAATATAATCCTGTCAGTGAATAGTTCCGTCTGAAATGAATGAAAATAGTTGTTTTAATGGTTATAGAGTCAGATATGTGGCGGTAATGTTTGGTTTATCTAAAGGTTTTTATCTGTTACTGTGTAAATGGGTTTGGCTGTAATTTAAGGACAGATTCTAATAGAGTGGGGACTATAAATCTGATAGGAGTTTAATTTTTTTATTGCTGTTTTGCACAGTATGCTTAACTAAGACATTTTTTGTTAAATATTCGAGATTTTTCAGATATATTTTTTTATACATACATTGTTTAGATTTAGATAGATCTATCTATCTATCTATCTATCTATCTATCTATCTATCTATCTATCTATCTATCTTTATAGAATAGAAAATCCCTTTATTGTCCCACAATGGGCAAATTTAAAGCAGCAGAAAGATTATTGAAAATGGTCACACAAATGAGGACCTTAGAAAAATTTATAAGAATAACATAATAGGGAAGAGTTAAAATATAAACAATAAAATCCTGTAAAGTGTTTTAACAATATAAAACTGGAGAATTAATAACCAATATGCAGCTATGGACATTTTTACAGTAATGGATATTTGAAAATAGCAGCAACATCAGAGATGTGCAGAATGACAGCAGCAGGTTATTTAACTGACTAAGGTTTCTATCATTACATTTGATTTGATTGGTTCCTGCTCCCGGTGGTTGGAACCTTTATTCCACTCAATAAAAAATAAATAAATAAACAAACAGTTTTTAAAACTTCGGTATTCATTCTTTTCCTGCTTTGTGCGTCAACTATCATGGTTGCTAAGCAACAGAGCCTACGGCGGTAAAACCCGCTGAAGGGTAGACCTGGTCGAATTCACAGCCAAAACTCTTCCGGTTTCCTTATTTTTAAGGACTTCAAAGGATCCAGTCTAGGTAGACTGGAGGATGCAGCCCAGGATTTCGAACAGAGCCATTATATGCGCAGACGCCTCATTGGACGCTGGCCGACATGCCTACAGGACGGCCATGTCTGATCTGATCTCAGTTCAGACAGCTGCTGTCAGAATGAATAGGAGGCTCCTTAGATCTCATTTTAATCACATGAAAGATGAGTCAGAGATAACCTTACAATATTCTCTAACATGTCACTACCCCCTAAAAGACCAAGAAAACTTCTGAAATTGCCACGCTGGCCTGCTGCAAACATGGTAGCATAACCAGGCCAGCGTGCTAACCTGCGACATTCCACCCCAAAAGGCTGCCTAGAATTAGAACAGAATAGAATTCAACTTTATTGTCTTTACATTGTCACTGTAATGACAATAATTTTTCCCTAGGTGTAAGAAACCCCACACAGCAGTGTGGGACCCAGAGTGACAGTCTGTGGGAGTGGGCCCTGAACCCAGAACCTCTGGAAACCAAGCTCTATGCCCAAACCATTAAGTCACCACACCCCCTAATAGTGTTTACAAAATGATTTCAACTAGAGTTACAACGGCCACAACCAGCAACCGCCCGGTTAGTATGAGAATCCCTATGTCAGGACTCCCGTTTTTTGTGTTTGTGTTTCTGTGTTTGTCTCCCTTCATCCACCAGGAGGCGCTTGGTTCTGGTCCGCCTCCTCACACACCTGCTGATGGTTTCCTCGTTAACGGAGTGTTCTTAAGCTGCTGACTGCCACTACCTCGACGCCAGAGTGTTTGCCAGTTTTGGGTACTCTAGCCAAGCTGAGTTTTTGCTGAGTCAACCTGAGCTTATTGTCAACCTGAGTTTAACTTTGTTTTTGTCTTTGCCTCTCGGCAGGAAGTCATCCCGCAAACTGGATTTCTCGGACCTTCTCTCCCTGGAAGGATCAACTGAGCTTCAAACTGAGCTGGGATTCAAACAGGAGGTTTGGATCCACTTTCCCAAGAGATCGTTTGAGCTTCACACTGAGAAAGGGATAATTCTCCACTACGACCCGTTCAAGTACCGCAGGAAATCTGAGTGGCAGTCAGTTTCTCCATTCACCAACTGTTAACCGCATTCTGGGTAAACCCTGTTCCGCCCTCCGGCGAATCAGACAAACACTGGAACAACAGCGTACAGACTGGAGTCAAAGATTCAACAACTTCTCTGGAAACGTGAGTCGGCAACCAAATCTTCTTCTCCAAGTTCACAAGTCAAATTCCCCACTGAGCCTGAACTAACCGCTGTGTCTTCCCCTTACTTTACAGTTCTGGTTGAGCAGTGTTCAGAGCAACACTTCTCTCTGAATTATCTCTTCAATAAAACCCGTTAAACCTTTTCCCTGGTCTCTCTGTTCGGTTTTCTGCATTTGGGTCTGAATTTTATAACACCATGACACCCTATCCAAACCGGGGAAGGTTGGGGAAGTGTCCAGCCATGAGCCCCACATGGTGAGAGCATTCACTGCCCCTCCCCCACCTGCTGCTGCTAGGTAGAGCTGAGGTGTCAAACAGCAGCCCTGCATAGAGAGAGGAGCAGTGGTCACTGTAAATGAAACCAGATTACATTTTGTGTGAAATCATGACTTTGCAGCCAATCAGGGACTGGACGGAGGAGAAGCTTTTTCACTTCAAATTGAATACACAGAAAATAATGTTAACAAAGGTAGAAATAAGGCATGATCTGCAGAGGTCTTTGGGTGGCTTAAAAACAGCAGTTTTAGAATTACTGTTCATCATCCTCCCTTACCTCCAGCACAGAGCCTGGTATGTCACTGCCCAATGCCCAGCATCGGGGCTTTCTGAGGGTGGAGAATTACAAGGAAGTCCCACTGAGAGGCTGGTGCCTATCTCCAGCTGTCTACGGGCGAGAGGCAGGGTCCACTCTGGACAGGTCTGTTTCAAAAATCACTTCATTAAATTCAGTTTATATTTCTGTCTGAGTTTCTTTTTAGTTTTCAATTCCACTTTGATTTATTTGGTGTTTTCTTTTTCATTGGTTTTGTGTTATTTTTATGCAGTTTTGTATTTCTTGACTCACTCTCTGCTGCCCCCTTGTGCCTGTTTCCTTTCCGTTTGGCTTCCTTCTACTCGTTAGCCCATCCTTTGTTCTGTTCCCCTTACATACCTCTGCAGTTCCTCATGGCTGGTTTCTTGCTTTATTTTTGCTTTATCGTCAGTTTGCTACCTCTTGAGAATTTGTCGTTTTCTTGCTTTTTTTTTTGTATTTTATATTTTTATTATTGAAGGAGAGATGAAGCTTTGTGAGGCATTGAACCGTTTGGCCAAATTGCCTTAACGATCCCCAAAGTTCACGAGGCTTCATCTGAACATGTCACCACCTGCTGGTGGAGTGCAGAACTACAGTAAGCAATATAATCTGTGATTTTTGCTATTTTGTTTCATGTTTTTTTTCCCATTTAAGTTCCTTTGAAATTGCTAATGATTGGATTGTAAAATAAAATCATTTGTGAGTGTTTTTAGTGTAAAATGTCTCAGAAGAGAAAAATTATTTAAGGTTTTCAGTTGTTCTGCCATTATTGTGAAATAAGCTCAAGCTGTGCAAGTGTTTGTGTAAATTGGGCAATAATGAGCACAATGAAATGTGTTAGTAATTACTATTCAAACATAATAGTTTATGAACAGTTTTTGGTTTTAATTAGGTTGCAAGTTATGTGTTCATCCCATCTTTAGGTTAAACCAACTAATTTAATTTGGCCTTGTTTTAATCCCAATCTATATTTGTAACCAATACAAACCAACACAAATTAGTCACATTATCCAAAATAGTTGTGAAGTATCATCGCAACCTCAGGAGTGGAAGTCAATGTCTGACAGCTGATGCCACTAACAATGGTAACTGCTCACCAGAAAGCAATACTTAACACTAATATTGCTGTAACTAGTGGCTTGCTCAGATTCTCATCATTATATTGTTTAATCCAACCAAAATAGTTTTAACCAACTAGACTGGTTGTTTTCCCCTCCAATCCATTCTCAGAATCTATCCAAGCTCTATCCAACTGACTGCCAGCTGAACCACTTCCTGAAGCGGTCACATGGTTCACAGTAGTGAGGCTTCGGACGTCATCAAATCTGGCCCCTCCCCTAAATGAATAATGCCTTGAAACGCGCTTCAGGGAGACGCCCCTTCCATTACTCGACACATGCCTCAAAGCCTCGGCTCATCCCATAACATCACTAGTTTTTGGACTTTGCTTCAGTTACCTGTGGGATCCTGATTAAATCTACAAAACTCACCTCTGCCTCCTCATCTCTGCATTAGGGTCCTCAAAAACCTCCACTCTACCGTGACATCACCAGCAAAGGAGCACCACAGGGGATGGTACTCTCTCTATTCCTCTTTGCTCTGTTGACCTCTGACTTCCAGGACCAGACAGAGTCCTTTCTTCTGCAGAAATCCTGGGATGACTCTGCAGTCATTGGGAGCATCAAAGATGGAGCAGAAGCTGAGGACAGAGAGCTGGTGAAGCGCTTTGTGGCATGGTGTGGAAACAATCAGCTGATCCTGAAGGTCAACAAAACAAGGAGATGTGTCAGGGTTCTTCCCTCTGTTTATTTTTTAGTTTATTTGTATTTATAGCTGTTTTCTAGCAGTGTTTTCTTCTTGAGTTACTCTGTTGCTGGTTCCTTGTCTTTTCCTGCCTCCTCATGTATGTTTTCTCTGACATTTCCAAGATTCTGTTTTTTTCTGTATTCGTTAGTTTGGGATTCTGCCTCAGTTGCCTGTGATTCCTTCGTTAAAGCATTGTCAACTAATTTCTGCATTTGGGCCCTTAAAGTGTCCACTCAACCTGACAAGATGATTGTAGATTTCAGAATAAACAGGAATAAGTTGAATCCTGTTAACATCCTGGGAGAAGAAGTGGAGGTGGTGGAGGAGTAGAAATACCTTGGTGATCACCTAGACAACAAACTGGTCTGGAGACACAACCGGGAATTCAATGGAATTCATTTCAATTATACTTTATAAATCCCTGAAGCGAATTTCAGTTTCTAAGAAGAGAAAAACTCTGTATTGCTAAAGGTGTGTCCAGTGCTGAGGTTCTTGCAGGTCATCCACAGGGGGATAGTGGTCTGGGAGCCTCTTATAGCCAGCCGGGACCTATTGGTATGTCTTAACAATTCATTTTTCATATGAAGTATAATATACTTACGCACATTTTCATTCTAATGACAACCTATGCGTTACTGCAGAATCAGGTGAAGACTCTTGTGATGAGGGCCCTTCACCATCACACATGCAGCATAGTATGTATGCTTTACCTTTTTTTAAATTAACATCACAGTATCTGCTTTTATTTAGATCAGGATACCAATAATACTGGTGTTTAAAATCTAAATGTAGCAAGTTGAAATATATTTAAATTAATAAAATCTCTGTATTGCTACAGGTGTGTCCAGGGCTGATGTTCTTGCAGGCCATCCACAGGGGGATAGTGGTGTGCGAGCCTCTTATAGCCGGCCCGGACCTATTGGTATGTCTTAACAATTCATTTAAGTTAGTGACTTATGTGATACTAAAAGGTCCTGATTCCCATACATTTGTCACTTACAGATATTTCACAGTCAAGAGCAACAGGACCCACTCAACCCCAGTTAAAGCTGTATCCAAAAACCATGCAAGGGGAGAAGAGGAGGTCGTTCAATCCATCCTGCTACAACAGGTTTTCATGGCTTGAGTACTCAATAATGAAAGACTCAACGTACTGCTATGCATGCAGGCAGTTCTCTTTGCCTAGCACGTCAGAATCCGGCTTTTCACATTGGAAAAAAGCAATGTATAAAGATGCTGGCTTTAAGTTGCATGAAAAATCAGATTCTCACATTACTGCCATGTTAGCTTGGATTGAACACAAGAGGGCTGCACTTACAGATGCTTCTGTATTAAACATGATCAACAAAGAGTACAAAAACTGTTGCAGATGTATTGCTTTTGACAGCCACACAAAATATGGCACAAAGAGGGCACTGTGAGTCTGAGCAGTCTGACAACAAAGGGAATTTCTTAGAAATTCTTGAAATGATTGATAAACACAATCCTGTGGTAGCCAAAAAAATGAAAGTAAAAGGCAATGCAAAATAAATAAGCAATACCATACAAAATGAAATTCTGCAGTGCTTAGCCAGTATGGTGCAGGATTCCATTGTGAAAGACGTGAAAGAGAGTGAGGTATTCTCCATCATCGCTGATGAAACCAAAGATCTCCAAAAAAAGGAGTAAAAATTAGTACTTCGATATTACTATAATGGGGCTGTGCATGAAAGCTTCCTTGAATTCCAGCACGCACAAAATCTAGATGCTAAGGGGCTTAGTTACATGATCATCAAGTGCTTAGAAAGCTATGGCCTTCAGTACAAATCAAACCTTGTTGGACAAGGTTATGATGGCGCCTCAGTAATTAGTGGTAAATATTCGGGTGTGGCAGCCAGGATCAAGACAGAGGCTAAAACTGCGTTTTATGTCCGCTGTAATGCACACTGTCTAAACCTGGTCTTGGTTGACACTCTGAAGTCAGTTCCAGAGGCCGATTGTTTCTTTTCACTACTTGAGAAGATCTATGTATACATGTCAGGCTCTTATGTGCACCAGAAATGGCTTACAGTCCAGAAAGAGATGTATGGTGGCACACCTAGAGAGTTACAAAGATTAAGTGACACAAGATGGGCATGTAGAGCACTAGCTTGCAGGAATTTGATGGATAGATTACCAGCTGTGTTGTGTGTTCTTCAAAATATAAGTGCAGAAAATCACAGAGACAGGTCCATTGATGCTAGAGGTCTGCTTGCACAGATTGACCTCACATTCATAGGCCTCCTTGCAACCTTCTGAAAGGTTTTCGGTGACACAAAGCTGCTTTCTGACCTGTTGCAGTCACCCTCAGTTGATTTAGCTATGGCAGCAGACATGGTGGAGTCACTTCTTGATACTTTTCAAGAGTATAGGACTGAGGCATTTTGTGATAAACTGTGGAATGACATAGTAGAGACAGCCAAACACTGCAACATAGCTGTTGAGAATGTTGAGAATAAAAGAGCACACAAAGTCAGCACCAAACTTTGTGGGTCGTATGTGACATGCACTATAGGCCTGCACAACAGTAATGCAGACAAAGATGCATTCAGGCAGAAACTACTCTACCCCATCCTTGACACCTTAGTTGCTGAAATAGAAAGAAGGTTCTCAAAAATGAACTGTTCAGTAATGAGAGGTATACAGGCCCTAAATCCTAAAAGCAGTACATTCCTTAAAGATGATCAGGTCTTTGACTTTGGAAAAATATATGAGTGTAATGAGGAAGATCTTACTCATGAGCTTCACCAGGCTAGAAGAATTTTGTCAAGGAAAGCTGAGAGTGGGACAGCACAGTTGGGAAACATCTTAGATTTAACAGTGTTTTTGGAACCATACCAGGAGGTGTTTGTTGAGCTCTTCAGGCTATGCAAAATAGCTATAGCCCTCCCAGTCAGCAGTGCTGCATGTGAGCGAAGTTTTTCAGCTCTAAAGCTCATTCAAACTCATTTGAGGACAACTATGCTAGACAACAGACTAAGCCATTTAGGTTTGCTAAGTATTGAGTCAAGAAGAGCGAGGGCACTCAACATGGATGATTTTATCAAAGTGTTTGCAAACAGACACAAGAACAGGCGAATTGCACTGTTTTGAGCCTCCTGTTTTCCTTAGGTCAGGGAAGGAAGAAGGGAGTAAGGGAGGAAGGAAAGAAGGTTTGGTTAAATAATTTGTTCAGAGGCATATGTATTTTAAATATGTTTGCACTTTATAGGTGGACTGTGTTTTTTTTAAAATGTGCATTGTTTACTTATGTTGGCATGGTAAGTAAGCTATATTTGTTTTGTACAGTCTGTACCTCTACCAAGTTTTGCACAGTTCCATCAAGCAAATATCAATATATATATATATATATATATATATATATATATATATATATATATATATATATATATATATATATATATATATATATACCAAAGTCTAGGTGTTGGTGTGTATTTTCTTGTGTGCATGTGTGCGTGCATATGTGAGTGTATATGTCTGTGTGCAGGCGGTCCTGCTCATACTTCATGCCACCCCTGCATAAGTCAGTGCCCCACTGGTGCCACCCCTATCAAAAATGTCTGGACACTCCCCTGCCATTCTACCCCTGCATGTTAACTTTATATTCAAACGCAACAACCCACCATCACAAACTGATGTCAGTAAAACTCTTAGCGGTGGGGATGGGGGGGCGGGGGGGACAATGGTGCGTGGGAGCAGAGAGAAGGTCAGACAAAAGTGTGAGAGAGGAAGTGTTTAGGTAGGTCAGTAAACCATGAAGAGTTTAGTGTGGGAAAGTCACCTGACCTAAATATCACCATAGCACAGATATCTCATTCTAATCAGTTTTGGCAAAACTGACTCAGGAAACTTGATCAGAGTAGAAAAGCTCTACTATTTTAAAAAGTCTCCTTAGATTGTTAACTTTGACTTCCCAGTCTTTCCAAATCTTCTTGTGTGTTATTCCTGTGATCACTCCTCCTGCAGTTTCTCCAACGATTTTCCTCTTTATCACAGATTTTTTTAAAATGTTTTCTACGCACAACTCTTCAGTTTTCCGTAACAAGTCTCCATCTCTCAAAATCTTCTCAGTTTTAGATTCTAAGATTTTACTTTTGATCTTTTTGGAAAGTACAAGAGGCCTTATTTTTCCCTGTTTATCTTCAGTCCTTAATTTAAGAATAATTTTGCAAACATCCCTCTGTATATTTTTATAATATTTATGTTCTTTTTTTTGCCTGCACTGTTTTGTTCCCGAGGAACAAAGACAATTAAAAACTTCTGACCTTCCTAACTACTCTGTCTTCATCTGAACTACTTTCCTCTAACCCTCTAACCCACCCCCAACCCAACCCCCCTTACTCTGTCAGTTAGCCTCCTATCCACCTCTGTGCCTCCCTGGCGTTCACTAAGATTTCCTTTACCGTTCCGAATTCGGGGCCTACCTTCATCTGACACCAGGCTCAGACTGGGAAAGCTTTTCAGCCCTGGCATTTTTCCATCTACACCGCTGGATAGCAGAGAACTGTGTGACCGCCTTTTGATGCAAAACCTCATCATGCAGCGCAACATATTTTTGCTAAATATTCTAACATAAATTCGGCAAATATAAGAGGAACATCGTAGTTTGGTTTAAAGAAAGCATTTTAGTTTTATTATAATTTAGTTTGTTGCAAGGATTTTACAGTTTGAAGAAATAGAAAATGACACCATATGCCAACCGTTACAAGGCTAAGCATGACAAGGAAGGGCTATAGATGATGCATGCATCATTTAGGGAGTTAACATTGGATTACATCTTGACCTCCTTGAGTTATTTACTGTCACAGGAAGGAGCTTCTTCGGTGTGTAAGTGTTGGGGCCGGTATGATTTAATGAGGGCCCGCCCTCACGCTGAAATTAAGACCGGCCCACTGGGCAAATTCCTGGTATCACAGATTACCTGTCCGAGCCTATCTGACATATCATCCTCAGAGCTAAAGTCCTTCAGAGCAAACCACCAGGTGTCAACAAGCCCAGCTGCAGCTCTGCAGGAAGTCCCTGAGAGTCACAGATTTCTGCACTCCTGGCCGTTTGCTGTCCTCAGAGCCACCACTTCATCATTTCACCTCGTGCCGAACCTCTGACTCAATCATTTCATTAAACGACTTTATTTCATTTTAAATCCTTTCTCTTCCAGGTATAATTATTCAGCTGTTGTCTGCAATGATTTACTCTGAGTTTGTCGTTACTGTAGTTTTTAATGTGTCCAAATGATTTTAACATGTCTTTGAGCGCTTTATTCCACAGTGGTCTCTTTAAATGTAAAGGAGGCGAGTCCCACCCAGGCTGTTGCCCCTCATTCAGCCATTTTTGTAGTTTTTTATTATTATTAATGAGTTAAAAGCTGTCAACATCAAAAAGGTTTTCTCTTCAGCTTCACATGTTGGTGCCATTGTCAGACTGAGAACAGGAGGAGAAACAAACACAGACATAATCCAAAAACAATACTTTATTCTTGGAGGCTACATGAAAAATAGAAATTCTTCAGCAGCAGCAGAGAAAACTTCAGTATTTCACCATAATGTCATAAGCTGTGGTCCTGCTATAAATGTTAGTGACAATATATGAAGTGGGCACAGGCCAGGCTGTGTTTAGAGGAAGGAGCTGCAGGAGGAAAGGAGCATATTTCAGTACAGTTCCTCCGTTATTGATCACTCACGTGTCCAAACAGCTGAATGGATAGCTAATTAGGAATGATTGTCCCACCTTCGTTTTTCCGGCCCCCCAGTAGTGTGGTGCTCCTGTCCCCCACATTTAGTGCATACCTGAATTTTATGCCCCTGCCTACAGTCTGTCAGCAGATGGCGCTAATTTGCCAATTCTCCAGCAAATGAAGAATCATGAAAAAGGGCTTTAGAATGGAAGATGATTTTAAAGTTCTTTTTTTCTTTAAGCTAATTTTAAGCGCTCATCATATCAATAAAAAAGCTGACTGAATAGAACCAAAAATATATTAAAATTTCAAGACAGAAATTTATTTAAAACATTTTAAAAGGATTAAAACCAAAGATGTGCAGGTTGTGTCGTCATTGGTCCTTCTCTCTTCCTCAGGTGTTTCTCA